ACCATCTCGGCTTGGGGTGTTTTTGGTCAGAAAGACAAAGGGGGAGAGAGAGAGAGAGACAGAGAGAGAGGGATATAGAGAGAGAGAGACAGAGAGAGAGAGAGATAATGAGAGGCAGAAGGAGAGGGAGAGATACACATGTATGTATGTATGTATGTATGTATGTATGTATGTATGTATGTATGTATGTATGTATGTATGTATGTATATGTATATATATATATATGTGAAGAACACAGGCGCGAGGAACACTACTTGACACACCACACACATATGTATATGCGTATATGTATACACGTTTATGTTCTGTACATATACATATATATGTATGTATTCAATGGCTTTCGGCCCATTCCGCCACTGTGCCAGAGTTGCTGGTCAGAGTTTTCAAGGATGCTTCTTGGGGTCTCTTCGAATTGTTCTTGGGGGCCTCTTGTGATGCCTCTTGGGGGCCTCTCGGGGGCCGTTTGGGGCCCCTGGGGGCCCTCGGGGCCGAGGGCTTGAAATATCCGTTCGGGTTCCCTATCCGGGCTTCCTCTCGGAGCCGTCTTTGGGCCCTCTTGGGCCGTCTTGGGCGCCTCTTGGGGCGTTTCGGGGCCCTCTTGTGGGCCTTTGGGGCCGTCTTGGGGCGATCTTTGGGGCCTTTCGGGCCGTCCAGGAACGTCGGGAAACAGGCAAGGCGACATCGCCAAAAACTTAGAGAACACTTAATGACTTTTGCCTCTTGTGGCCCTCTTTGGAGGCCTCTTGGGGCGTCTTGGAAGCCTGTTGGGCCATCTGGGTGCCATCTTAAGCGTCTTGGAGCGATCTGTAGGCGTCTCGGGGTCCTCTTGGACCGTCTTGGGGGCTTCTTGGGATCCTCTTCGCCAGTTCAGGGGCCTTTTGTGGGTTCAAAATGTCATGCGGGAAGACGCGGGGACCCCCCCACGCGACGCGGGACCCCCCGCCGAATTTGGCAATTTGGGATCTGGGCCCCTTAAGAGTCTTCAGGATTCAGGACTGAGGCTCGCTGGATTAGACACAGGACCTGAGGACACGCCCAGTCCGTGCCCAGAGGCACGGTGACGGACATCCATAGATATGTACGTACTTATATATTTATATATATATGTAGAGAGAGAGAGAGAGAGAGAGAGAGAGAGAGAGAGATAGAGAGAGAGCGAGAGCGAGTGAGAGAGAGAGAGAGAGAGATGCCCAGTATGTATTACATGGGTACACACTGGGATGGGAGAACACACACACATATATATAGAGAGAGAGAGAGAGAGAGAGAGAAAGAGAGAGATGGAGAAAGAGAAAACACACACACACGTATAGAGAGGCAGGAGGCAGGGACGCGCGGTCCCCCCTACCTCCTTACTCCACGTCGCGCCGTCTTCACCCAGACCTCTCTCTCCCGTCCTTCTGGGCTCGGGGCCCCGGGTCTTGCAGGGTGTCGGTGGGGGGGCGGAGGGCGGAAAGGCCGAGGGGGCGGAGGAGGGCGCGGGATGTC